AAACAGAGAGGACTCTATCTTATTTCTCCTTTCACATAAAGTAAAGCCTCAATTCAGACTTTACCAATTATTAACTCGTGATTGGGCAGAAAGGTTCTGGAATAAAGATTAATACTGTGCAGTCACTGAAAAAAGAAACTTGATAAGCAAATGAAGAACGAAACTTTTATTTTTAAGCCCTTTAGAAATACTTAATTTTATGTAAGCACTGAAACTGCAAATTATTCTTAGTCATTAAAACAGACACTTAATTGGCTTTGGCTCCAGAGGTTTCATATATTTAAAAATAGTAAAGCTAAATTTTCAAGGAATATATTCTATTAGCCACAGTTTTCCAACATTCTTTCTCTTCTTACCAAGGTATCTGAACAGTGCTCGTAGTGCAAAAAACTGTATATAAGCAAAATTAAACAAAAATACACTTCTACTTGGATTATCTCCAGAATTTATATGATATACTCAAAAACAATTTCCCTTTCTCTAAGCCAGTAAATTTCAACAGTATTGTTCTTGTTACACTATTTTCTCCAACTAAATTTACCTCCTTGTCCATTACATAAAGCAAACAAAAAAGTTAAATTCTGTGGGCTAGAGATTCTTCAGTGTGCCAAGATCCAATTGCATGTGAAAAATGGGGTTCTTGGTAGGTAATAATGAGGCTGGCTGCACAAGCCACTATCTAGGAGGCTGAGGCTAGGCTGCACAAGCCACTATCTAGGACTCTATGGGAGTACTCAGGAAGGGCAGTAGCCAATTGTGCCAAGATTATGGCTTCTTACCCAAAAAAGCTGAGCTGATAATGACGTTATCAATAGCCCTCCAGACTGGGCATAAGGCCATGAGATTCTATATAACAGTTATGATCACATTAGAGAATTTTCTATTTTGTAGTCCTCTACAAAATTATATATTATATACTATATATACTAAATATAATATATATACTATATAATTGGTATTTTAATCTCAGAACTATTCTAAGTTCTATTTTAAAACATTTGACTTTTAAAGACATTTTTTAATACTGTAAAATAAATCAAAATTAAAACTATCTATATCCTTACAACAGTAAGTGGGACATAACGTTTTCATGTTACAGAAAGGAAAATTGAGGCTCAGAGAGACTAAGTTATCAAAGCTCACGGGGTATCAAGGGAAATTAAAGTTTTAAGAGGAATGTGTATGATCCTAAATCCATGTTATTTCTACTCTAATACACTGCCACTCAAAAGCGGCACAGACTGTATCTGCAATGAGCTCGCAGCTCAGGACTCTATACAATTAATACGTTATAAAGTAAAGGGTATAATGTTGGACTAGTGTACAATGCAAACATAGTCATATGCTTCTTCTGTAATAAAGCAAAAAAGATGTGTTTAAAAGGAAAATGTAAAGTGTCACAAGAAAGGCAAAGGCTGGGTAAGAAAAAGAAAAAAAAATTTAAAGCTGAAAAAGACATTTAGAAAAGATGGCATTTCAGGTGTTGAAAACAAATATGACTTTGATAGCCAGAGATGAAATGGGACGTTTCAGTTGGGAAAAAGAACATGAGTGAAGGCACAAAAAAACAGAAATGATGAGGCATACACAGAGAGCAGCAAGTCATTCAGATTTGCTAAAGCAGTCTTTCCTACATTTCCCTGGTATGAATTCCTCTGAAAGATACTGAATTCCTCTGGAAGATATCTATCCTTTGGAAGATACTGACACCAGGGAATATAAAGTCACAAAACAAGAAGTTTGAGAAGAAAAAGATAGCAAGTTAAGACTTGGCCAGGGCTTGAGAAACTATTGTGCAATAAGCAGCTGGAGAAAAGAAGGGTAAAGCAGCCTAGAGATGTAGACGTGAGAGTCAGATACAAGCATTTGATGATAACTTTATTCCAAGGCACCTCCTTATGAAAGAGCCAGATGAGAAAATTATGATGACACAATACTAGGATAATAATACTCATGTGATAATGAACTGTATTTGGGTTATAATTTTCTTGGCAGAGAGAAAAGATTTTACTCAGTCCTTCTAAAAGTGTTTAAAGTGTTTCTCAGGTTTAGGAAAGAAAATAAAGAGCAAGACAGCACTATCTGTGACGGTATCCTCGTACATTTCAACCTGAAATGCAAATTGCTTTTGGAGTATAAGTCCACAATATTCAATATAATTTAAAAATATCGTTTTTCTACTTTGTGTAGTAGAAAGACAAAAGATACACTTTGAACATTTAACACATCTGCTGTTACAAAGAGAAAAAATTCAAACTTATTTCCTAATAAAGTTAATCTCAAAGTAATTGTGAACAAAACTTACTTTAGACTAGAAATTTAATTTCAACAAAAAAACTGACAGAAAAACTCCTTTCTCCTACCCTTGCTCTCCAAGGCTGCTCAACCTACTATCCAGGAACCTATGGGATTTAGGGAAGGACAACGGGCCAACTGCCTTCCCCAGCTGCCTTCTACTCTAGAATGCTACGCTACCAGCAACATTTTTTTCACTGGTAAAAAGTTTCACTAGCAGCATAGCATTCTGGGGTAGAAGGCAGCTTTGAGATGTCTTGGGCTTGAGGGAGACAGCTTCTATAGCATTCACAATCATATGAGAGACTCAGCTAGCTTTAAAAGAAAAAAAACCCTCAGTTCCAAATTCTGATTTCATCACCTCTTACTTGCATGATCGTGGATGAGTGATTTAACCCCCTCTAAGTTTCACTTTCTTTATTCTACAAAATTAGAAAAATAATGTCTATATTGCATGGTTGTTAAAGGGATTACATAAAATAGATAGTACAATCAGCAGATAAGAAGATAAATTATTGTAATGCAGTATCATAAATGCTTTGATGGCCACAGACCGATTATCATGGAAAGAAGTACCTAGCTTAGCCTGGGTGGGAGTTCAGTGGCAGGGGGAGGCAGAAGTAGAAGGTGATAGTAGAGCTAAATCTTAAAGAAAAAACAAAAAGTAGGCAAATAAAGGAGAGAGCACACTCCAGGCAAAAGGAAAAACGGGTGGGGGAACTGTGAGGAAGGTATGAGTATGCAAGAAAACTTGACACCTTTAGAAAACAGCAACAAAAAGGAACCCTGGAAGTTTCCAGATCTAACATTTGTGATTTTGTTCATTTACAAACATATCCACAGAATTATGACACACAGTAAATCATTCTGATGAGGCATAAATTTGAATCATGAACAATGCACTGACTAGAGCACTGACATCTAAACAAGATGACTCTTCAGATATTGAGGTGACAGAATGGTGACATTAAAAACCTGGTAAATGGGCCGGGCATGGTGGCTCATGCCTATAATCCCAGCACTTTGGGAGGCCAACACAGGTGGATCACAAGGTCAGGAGTTCAAGATCAGCCTGACCAACATAGTGAAACCCTGTCTCTACTAAAAATACAAGAATTAGCTGGGCATGGTGGCTCATGCCTGTAATCCCAGCTACTCCAGAGGCTGAGGCAGAAGAATTGCTTGAATCCGGAAGGTGGAGGTTGCACTGAGCTGAGATTGTGCCACTGTTCTCCAGACTAGGTGACAGAGCGAGACTCTATCTCAAAAAAAGAAAAAATTGGGAAATGAAGTTTTTGTAAAAACAATAAATTATAGTTTTGACATCTAAAGTAGAGATGTTTCCTAAAGCAACTCTGAACAAGGGATAAGAGCCCAGAAGAAATATTCAGCCTTATCTCCTGGAGTTTAGAATGTTGGTGTACAGGTAAGTGGAAACTGAACTCATGGCATCAAATAGATCACTCAAGGATACAGTAAAAAGAAAGAAAAAATTATGAGCAAAATATTTCATATACATGCCCATTTTAATTATATTTTAATGCCAGGGGTATTAAGTAGAGTGCTTAATACCAACATTAGCCTACAAAAACCATGCTCACTAATAAGGGAATATATAGATAAAGAAGTAAAAACAAGAATAATAATAATGTGCTTTTGATCCACCCGCCTCGGCCTCCCAAAGTGCTGGGATTACAGGCGTGAGCTGAGGTTGCGGTGAGCCAAGATCGCGCCATTGCACTCCAGCCTGGGTAACAAGAGCGAAACTCCGTCTCAAAAAAAAAAAAAAAAAAAATGTGCTTTTAATTCAATGTTATTGTTAGAGTTGGTTAGAAATAGATAATTACATTAAACAATTAAGACTAATAGGTTATAAAGTTTTCATTACAATAATAAAGACTATGAACCTAAACCTTTAGGTCTCAGTGTTCACTAATTTTCAAAAAAGAAAGTCGTATCAGAATCTTTAGGACTAGAAACCTTTGAAGATAATTTTCTTGTAGTATACATACCAGAATTACTGCTCTAAACAATGGCAAGACACTGTGTTTCAGTAATGAGTATTATGATGCAAGCAATATTGAAGAAAACCACATGTAAAGACCTACAGGAAGGACTGGCACAGAAGGCACTGCATAATTCAAGGACATAGATTTAATAGTTACAAAGACCTGGGTTCAATTCCCAGCCATAGCTATTTATTGGTCATGTGACTTTGAGCAAATTATAAACTATAGCTAAATTTATTCATAAAATGAGGATAATAATATCACCCATCTCAAAGGGCTGTGATGAGAATGAAATAAACAAAATAGATATAAATAACATTAAAATGAATATGAGTTTTAGTCTATGATTGTTTAAAACAGTAATGACAATAATCATTATCATTTATCATACCAACTGAACAAATGGCAGTTAGGATCTGAATCATAAAGTTCAACCATTCAAAAAACTGCAAGTCTAATTCAACTGATTTTTTTTTAATGCCAACATTAAAAATAAATAAATACTACAAATTTATGTGGGGAAATAATCTCAAAAGTTGCAAATATTACTGACCACAAATCAATTTACAAATTCAATGAACACTGAGCCTGTCCAAAGTAAAACATGCTGGAGATACAATACATAGCAGGAGATACAATAATGAGTAGACCTTAATCTCTTTTATAAGTTAGAACAAAGGGCAAATTACAGATTACCTGACTAACTCGATTTACTTCCTCCTCTTCTTCCTCAGCTTCCTCTCCAAATGAAAGTAAACTAAAATTTCTAGTCCAAAAAAAAAGAATGAAAGAAAAAATAGAAAGAAAAAGTTAAATCAAACATATTCTTTTCAGAGCAAGAGAACATAATTTATAAGAATAAATACACTCTGACTATTTTTCAAAAAACTGTATTACTTAGTATTCAGCAGAAGTATTCTAACAATCTATATTTTCAGTATGATGTTAAGGCTTTTGCCTCAGAGCACCAATGTTTCCTACATTATACTAACTTTTAATGACCAAAAATCCCTCCTGAGCATTATCATTAAATGTGTTAAGCATGACAGAAATAGTTGAGCTTTTTACATTTATCAAAACTGGAAGCAAATGGAGATTTCTGAAAAACTATTAAGTATGTATCCCTGAGTGCTACAAATGAGAAGCAATTAATCTAGTATTTGGTGAAATATGTTTTAATATTTTTAAATTAATAATGTAATGTATACAAAATTGTCAGATAGAAAAAAATATAAGCAATAAACAGCTAAAACAGCCCATGAAGAGAAAAAGCTAGGTTTGTCTCCTCTGATTCATCAAACAAAAGAAATCTCAAGTAAGATAAGCAATAAGTCACTAAAACTCTCTCTCAAATAGAAAAATGAAAGATGTGGCAGCAAAAACAGATTTTTTGTTTCCCGAAACCTAGAAGCAAGCAATAACCAACATATCATCCCCAACATACTTGCTGGAAACAAAAACACACACAAAAATTGACTTTAGGGTTTATCGTTAAGATAAATCACAGTGATGACATACTGTATGTAACTATAATGACAGTAACCTTGCATCCAGAGATAGGTTAGTCAAAATAAGCTGATCAAAGAATTTTTAAAAATCAAATAAATAATTCCAGTAAGCAGTTATTTTGCCACAAAATATTCCAAAAAGTTATTTTGCTTATTAAAGTGTCTGGCTCATAGCTAACAGTTTATAAAACAACTTAACTTTATATTTGTAGGATGTCAAGGAAAAGGACTAATAGGTATTGAATGCCTAAACTACTGAATGTTTCCACATACCTCTTCTCATTTAATCCTCATAACAAACAGGTGTTATACTTATTCTAATCTCCATTTTACAGGAAGAGGCAACTGAAGCTTAGAAAGTTTAATCAACTTTGCTTTTTATTAACTAGGTTTGGCAGGATTATATCTAGAATTGATCAAATCCAACAATTACAGGTATAATAAAATCCCTAATAAGGATCCTACAATTCAGTAAAAGAATATGTTGAAATCTAACTCTGCAGTATATACAGACAATGTTAATACTGTAGAGTATTGTCACAAAATACTGAAATTTATTTTTTTATTCCTATTTTTTGGAAAATTATCTTCAGGAAATAAACCAAAATACTGAATGAAACAGCTTTATATTTTAAAATATTTATCATAACATTATTTTTAATAGCACCAAAAAGGAGTGAAAAATAAAAGTTAAATTGCATAATGGAATCATGTAGTTATTAAAAATATTCTTTATACTTTTTCTATATATACTAAGTGAGCATATATTAATTTTAAAATAAGCAACAAACAAAAATTTCTCAACAACTCATTTATGTAAATAATTGTTATAGGGATCATAAAACATCTATCTATTAATACAGATTTCATATGAACAAAGGAGATGACATGTTTGTAGCTTAAGTTTAAGATATACTGCACCAGAATACAAGAGGTGCTCATTTAGAAAACAACAACAACAAAAACAACTAATATGCTTTGGCTCTGTGTCCCCACCCAAATCTTATCTTGAGTAATCCCCATAACTTCCCCACATGTTGAGGGAGGGATCCTGGTAGGAGGTGACTGGATTATGGGGGAGGTTTCCCCAAATCCGTTCTCATGATACTGAGTGAGTTCTCATTAGATCTGATGGTTTTGTAAGTATTTGACAGTTCCTCCTTCACACTTGCTCTCTCCTGTTTTCTTGTGAAGAAGGTGCCCATTTCACCTTCCGTCATGATTGAAGTTTTCTGAGGCCACCCCAGCCATGCAGAACTGTGGGTCAATTAAACTTCTTTTCTTTATAAATTACCCAGTCTCAGGTATATCTTTATAGTAGTGTGAAAACAGGCTAATACAACCACACACTTATAATTCCAGTATCTCTCTCGTTCAAACTGGCCTCTCCTTTGCTAGTAAAGAATTACCATAAAAGGAAATAAAGTAAACCAAATGAATAAGTGTCATTTTTCAAGCTGCAGAAAAATCTCTCCACTGTGATTACTTTGTGCCTTTGGGTTTCAATTTCTTTACTTCCTCCTCTGGTTTCTCTTTTTTTGGCCTTTTAATTTCCCTTGGAATAATGTCATCAAAAGGATTAAACAAAACCTAAAAAGAAATATTTTGAAAACATTATTACATTTTAAACATTTCACAAGAAACTAAACACAATATGTAATTCCATTGGTATATTGTCTATATTTTTCCCCACATAAATATTACTCACATAGTGATATGTATATACTATACAACATGCCTCCACTTACATGGCCTCATTGGATTCTCTCAATAATCCTATGTGTAATTAAGGTATATTTTATCCCTATTTTACAAATGGAAAAAATATGAGAAATTGTACATGATACATAGTAAGTAAGAGAAACTCAGGTGCTTTGATTCCAAATCAAGTATTCTTGCTTCCTCAATAAAGGATCACTCTTTTTCTTTTCTTTTTTTTTGAAACAGAGTCTCACTCTGTTGCCAGGCTGGAAGGCTGTAGCATGACCTCGGCTCACTGCAACCTCGGCCTCCCGGGTTCAAGTGATTCTCCAGCCTCATTCTCCCAAGAAGCCGAGACTACAGGTGCGTGCCATCACCCCTGGCTAATTTTTTGTATTTTTAGTAGACATGGGGTTTCATCATGTTAGCCAGGATGATCTTGATTTCCTGACCTAGTGATCCACCTGCCTTGGCCTCCCAAAGTGCTGGGATTACAGGTGTGAGTCACTGCACCCAGTGGATCACTCTTAAATTACCTATGAAGTCACTTCTTTGGGATAAATAAACGGAATTACCTTTAACTTTGCATTATGAGGTAAGCTTTTCAGTCATTGGATTATCAGATAAAGTTTCATCTTTGAATTAAAAACTTTTAATTAAAACAATTCTTAACTAGTAATTGTGCCCAAATAAATTAGAGATAAATTAGATGTTAACTTAGTATAAAGCCTTCATCCAATAGTTTAAAAATACTAAGATTCAATTCCTCTTAAATGACAATTTAAGTGCCATATCTCATAATAATCATGCTCCTACCTCACAGCTTTTTATTTTGTGTGGATTATGTGGTCTTTCTTCATCATCAATGTCTACTTCTGACAGTCGCAACATGTTATATACTGTATCCCCTGTAACCTATCAAATTAAAAATATAATGTAATTGAAAATTATTACATTCATCCTTTGACTTAAGAGAAAACCTTTGAAAATATTTTTCAAATAATTAAAAGGTAATTTCACATGATTACATAAAAATATATGCATTTAATAATGCAAATAAAGCAACTTTATCTTAAAAGAGAAAAAGCATGGATGGAATTCAATCCCTCAGTAAGTTTTCAGGAAATTTCCAATATATATTTAATATGTCTTTATTAAAAATATAATGCCAAATAATATCCTACTGACAACTTTTCATTCAAACATCATAAACAAAATTAAACTTTGGAATAGGATAAAATAAGCAAATAGTAACAACAATAATGTGGTAAACGCTTTACAGACATTACTTTATTTAATCTCACAAACATCCTAAAAGTAGAAACTATCATTATCCTTCTACAGATAAGAAAAATGAGGCTCAAAGAAACTATAAAACCAACAGTGATGGCCTTTCTAACTGCTAACTAACTATGCTACACATTGTCTCTGATATGTTAGTTCCATAATCTCAATTGTAAAAACTGACACAGAATGACAACTTAAATCTCATTTTATTATACACTCTTATTTTTAAGAAATAAATAGGGGGAATCGATAAACATCAGACAGGCTCTGTGGGAGTGGCTCAAAAGAATGTGTCAAAGCATATTTCCTAACCCATTGCTGTTATTAATGTATTAACCAACAATATTGCAATTCACAGTTTTAGTGTGATTCCTTTCATTCAGTGTATCTCAACACTTTTAAAACAACACCAGCTTTCCAATTGTACTGAGTTTGGTTTTTCCCTTTCATCATCACAAAATCCAATTTTGCCTGGCATATGGGGGAAATCATTCTTACTGAACCAGCAGAGGGAGCTGATACACTTGTGATGTCTAATATGTCTAAGACTTAAAACATATAGAAACGTATTTATGAGAAGGGAGAAGAGTGAGAGAAGAAAACCTTCAGAATCCCTTTTTAAAGAGAATTTTTGAAAATTCTATAGAAAGGATGTTCCCTAATGTGACAGTAAATGTGAGCAAGATTAAACAGGTACTATTCAAAGTAATATTTACAGTAAGAAGTTTCAGTGTCAACACAAATTCCACTTTAAACTTAAGAAAATCCATCACTAAGAAAATAAACTTTAAACTACTGTTATTACCTAAATGTCTTTCCAAAAATGTAAAAACAATATTGGCTAAGTAGCACATTATTGGCTTATACCATTACTATGATTTTAAAGAAGGAATACACTAAAGTCACAACTAATGACAGAATGAAAGACGAAAAAAGAATTGAGGGTTCCTCAAAGTGCATTATAATAGTAATATATTTCATGATTTTTGAAAAAATAAATATATCCTATGAAATGTTTTTATGAAGGTAGCTCATAGATAAGTTAATCACATGTAGCTTAGAAGCCTAAGGAATAACATAAAACCAAAAACTGAACCATAAGTTTAAAATAACTGGACACTAACCTTTCCAAAGATGGTATGCTTATTGTTAAGTTCATCTGCTCGACCCAGTGTAAAGAAAAACTGGCTGCCATTATCATGAGAACCAGCATTTGCCATGGCAACCAGTCCTCTCCGATTAAAACGCAACCGTGAATGAAATTCATCCTGGAACGTTAAAAAGATTTAGTGAATGTCCTCAGTTATAAGACCTTTCATATGCAGCTATTGAACTTAACCTGCAAGGTCCCATACAACTTCTAATAAAAAATACAGACATTTTATTTAATTGATTTTCAAGTACCTACTATTCTTTCAATGTTATTAAACTTGAATTCACTAGACTATATCTTCTAAATATACTTAGACAGAAATATACCCTATTTTGTAGAAAGTAGCTTAATTAAACTTAAAGGAAGAGTACCTAAGGGGGAATGGATTTCTAAGCAGTTTCCCTATTCTCATCCCAAAGTCAGCTAAGCTTTTGAAAACTTCTATTATTTCTCCCAGTAAACTACCTTTGAGCCATTGCAGAGTCTTCAAGTATTACTCCTTCCCATCTCATTCTAAATGTCATTAAACGATTGCTCTCTTCTTGTTTTTTAACTCAAATAATCTACTATGATTGTGTTATATAATTTTATCATGTCTTTTTAAGTCCAAAGTTGAATCTTCTCTGAAATGGCACTGATTTTATTTGCCAGTTTTCAAAAGAGCAGGAACAAGCCTTTCTAAAGTGATTTTCTCACTATGATAGAGCTACTTAACAAATATATTAGTCTCTTAGTTAACAGAATTTCTATCCAACCTGATACTGAACTCATTTATAAATGTAGCCATGTTATACAATAAATGCTTTTCACAAAGGAAGATATTTTTCCTTAATAAATAATTCTCAAGAGATCTGAACTCAATCATAACTCTGTAATCAAAATGATCTAATTGAAAAATGTAACAAGACAACTGTATTACCTGAAAATAATGAAACAAAATCTCAAGTTAGGAAGGAACTGTCAAAAAGAGTTATTCTGTTACACTAAATAAAATAATAAAAGAATGCTTCTGACTAGATGGAGTCTCTAAAATCATGAGAAGTCTTACCATGATAAAATGTAAAATAGTCTAAAAGTGACATCTGAAACTTTTAAAATAACTATTCCACATTTCTAAGGCCATTATCATCTGGAAATTAAAGCAAACAGTTCAAATATTTTCTTCAAGAATCACACAATGACTCAGTAAAAGATGAAAGGAAAATGCAGACACTCTATCGCATTAGTATAAAAACAAATTGTCAAAAACTCTCATATTTTAAGCAATATCAATGTTTACTCATTCAAACACAACTTTTAGCTTTTACTTGAACCTGTTATTGTTCTTAATATCTTTGCTATCACATTAACACTTTTTCTTCTTAGATCTATATTGGCAGTTAAAAAATCACGACCTGTTCTTGATTAATGCACATTTTATGGACAATTTTTTTTTTTTTTTGAGACACAGTCTCCTTCTATTGCCCAGACTGGAGTGCAGTGGTTAGATCTCAGCTCACAGCAACCTTTGCCTCCTGGATTCAAGCGATTCTCCTGCCTCAGCCTCCTGAGTAACTGGGATTACAAGCACATGCTACCATGGCCGGCTAATTTTGTATTTTTAGTAAGATGGGGTTTCACCATGTTGGCCAGGCTAGTCTCAAACTCCTGACCTCAAGTGATCCACCCCCCTCAGCTTCCCAAAGTCCTGCATCCAGCCTGATTTTTACATCTATGGATTTTTTTTTTTCCTCTATGGAACACAATCGTTTTCAATTAAGCAATCTCAGCTGACTTGCAAATAGCAATAATAACAACAACAATAATAAAAATAGTAATTCAGTCTTACTTTGAATGGTGCTCCATAGATAGACTCTCCACCAGTCCCTGTGCCAGTGGGATCTCCACCTTGGACTATGAAACCAGGCACAACTCTATGAAAAATGGTATTGTCATAATAAGCTGGAAAAAATTAAAAATAGTTTATTAATGTCGAAATTTAATCATATCTACAGTTACCAAAATTAATACAGCTAGAGTCAAAAGACTTATTTTCCAGAATGTTAAATAGGTTCCCAAGCCAAAACCTTTTATATCCTCCTTCTTATAAAATTGCTACTTCTCAAAACAGCACACATTTCTACAGAAACCATCATTGTTCACTTTTTGTTTTTATTTCTAGGATCTCTCAAGCTCTGGATTTGTTTCAAAATAGAAATTAGAGAGTTCTGGTATGGAGGAGAAGCAATTGTGCTCCAGGGAACATTTGTCAATTTCTGAAAACATTTTTGGTTATTTGTAAAAATGGGACAAACTAATGATATCTAATGAATAGATGTCAGTAGTGAGCACAGTGAGCAGAGATAGTGCTAAACATCCTATAGTGCAAAAGACAGTCCCCACAACAGATAATTGCCAGCCCAAAATGTCAACTGTGTAGAGACTGAGAAACCCCAGCAGAAATGAATATCTTATTTCCTACTGCTTCCTCTTTTCCTCATAGGAAATTAATTAATATATAGACTTATAATATATCAAAATTAGTTATTAGTTATAGGTCCAGAACCATCAATACATCCTCCTGAAGAAACTTTGAATAAATAAAACAAATAATAAACACAATACATACTTGAGTCCAATTAGACTCAATCAGTTTGCTAAATGATTGAAATAAATTGTTCATATTTACATGTCATTCAAAAATAAACAATTGGAGTATATAATTTAGAACTCATAAATATACAGGAGAGATCATTTATGATCCCCTATACTATATATTATCCGAAACCTAAATCATTAGGGTACTTCATAGAAGAAAAAGAAGTTAACTTGGGTATGGCAGAAGCATGCAACTTGGTGAGGCAAAGCATAAGTGAAAAATTGAGCAGGAAGCAGGAATCAGAGTTTGCCTGAATAAGAGAATTTATATTAAGAAGTAGCAATATGACCAACATGCATAAGAAAAAATGTTTAATATTATTAGTTATTAGAGAAGTGAAAATCAAAACCACGATCAGATATTACTTCATACCCACTAGAATGGCTAACATCAAAAACCTTAAAAGAATAAGTGTTGGTAAGGATGTAATAAAATTGGAACCCTTTTACATTGCTGGTGGGAATATAGAATGTTATAAAAAGTTAAACACAGAATTAGCGTGTGTTCCACCAATTCTGCTTCTAGGTATATGTGTGTGTATACAAGTAATATATATGTTTATATACTAATACATAGTTTATAAATGTAAATAGTATACATAATTCACATATAAACAGTATATATATTTAATATATAAGTAATTATAACAGTAGTTATGTTATTTTGATATATAGTGTTACTATATATAATATATACAATTGTTTATATAATACATAAAATTGTTAATATACATTATATATTGTTAATATATAGTATATAATTAAATATACTATATATTAAATATATATAATATATATTAAATTATATTATATAATATATTTAATTATATACTATATATTAACAATATATATAATATATATATCACCATGCACATGATTAGATTTGCTTTATCCAAACATTTTTTATATATATATATATATATATATAGTTTATATATATATCCAAAAGAATTGAATGCTTATATATATAAATATACATTTTGTTTATTTGTATATATGTATACAAAACAATTGAAAACAAATAATCAAATACTCATTCATACACAAATGTTCATAGCAGCACTATTCACAAGAGCCAACAGTTGTAAACAATTCAAATGTCTGTCAATGGATGAATGGATAAATAAAATGTGATGTATACATATGATAGAATCTGACTATCACAAAAGGTAATGAAATACTGATACATGCTACAAAATGGATGAACTTCAAAAACATGCTAAGTGAAAGAACCCAAACACAAAGTCGCATATTGTCTGACTCCATTTTTAAGAAATCGCTAGAATAGGTAAATCTGCAGAGATGGAAAATAGACTGGTGGTTGCTGGGGGCTGTAGGTAGAGGAGGGGCATATTAGTCCATTCTCACACTGCTATGACGAAATACCTGAGACCGAATAATTTATAAAGGAAAGAGGTTTAATTGAGAGTTTCGCATTGCTGGGGAGGCCTCAGGAAACTTACAATCATGGTGGATGGCAAAGAACAGGTAGGTAGTTTCTTCACCAGGCAGCAGGATGGAGTGAGTGCAAGCAGAGGAAATGCCAGGTGCTTACTCATTATTGCAAAAATCGTTATGGGAGAAAATGCTCCTATGATCCAATTGCTTCCACCTGGTCCTGGCTGTGACACGTGGGGATTATGGGGATTACAATTCAAGGTGAGATTTGGGTGGGACACAGAGCCAAACCATATCAAGGGGAGATTGGAGAATGACTGGGTTAATGGATACAGAGCTTTCTTTTGGGGTAATACAATGTTTTAGAACTACACAGAGATGCCAATTGCATAACATAGTGAATGTACTGACCCTGAACTGTACATTTTAAAATAATTAGTTCTATGTTATATAAACTTCACCACAGTTTAAAAAAAAAATCCTTTAGGTGAAGGAAATAAATTATTTTACATCACTGAAATTAGTTCTGTGCTTACATTAGGTAAGCACAAGAGGAAACATAAGTAGAATATATACATAACCCTGAAGGAAGTACTGAATAAACAAAGCTATTAGTTTTTTGTTGTAAAAACAAACAAAAAGCAAGTAGCAATAAAGCAGGCTGTGGTTGAGCCCAATTATTAAGTTAGGTGGTCATGACTGAATCGCATGCTGAGGGTTACAAAGCAGAAAAATGGAAAGAGCACAGTTCCCTAAAGATTTCAGTGACCTGCAGAACTAACAGCAGATTTCTTGACATACCGGACAATAAATATCTTTATTATTTAAATCATTTTGAGTTGAGTCTTCTATTACTTGTAACTGAATACAACTTGAATACAACTCATTCAATGAAAAATATTTATCAAGTATCTACTATGGGCCAGGCATTTAACTGATATAATTACTGACATAATTTATAAAGTTCCTATTTTAGTGGCTCGCAGATACCCTCATAATTACTTATACATGCAAGGTATAACTGGATATGTAATGCATATTTTTTAAAAATGTAATCTGTATTCTAACAGCTATATTCGGTACAGAGTACAAAAGAAAAAGCAGAAAGGAAAATTAGCTGATTTTGCTCAGTCCCTTTTCCCAGTGAAGGGCAGTTGGGCTGTATTTACAAGAGCTCCCTAATGCAGACCAAGTTCCCTCTGGTTACAAATAGAAACTACAAAAACCAAAAGGTCTAAAAGTGTCTCTCCTATATTCCTAGGTAACAGTTTCAACAGCTACACTAACACTGTATGCAGCAGTCAGGAGTTTCAGTCTTACCTTTTTCTAGCTGTACAACCATAAACTCCATTTTCTCATAAAACTAATAACATAAATTAAGGCACTGTGTCAATCTGAAGATTAAGTAATGTAAAAGCAAACTACACATTTTCAGGTTCAACACAAATATGAGGACAATTGCTACAAATTCATATTCAAATTTGAATATAAAATATACCCCAGTGTATATAATATAATGAATATTGCTTTAGACCCGTAAGAAGCAGTCAACCGACACTTTCTGAGCACTGTGCACATGATCAGATTTGCCTTTGCAAAACATCACTCAAATACCCAGGGTGAATATATTACAAAGAGACACGACTGGAGAGGGGTGGGGAGAAAGAAAGAGAGAGAGAGAGAGAGAGAGAGATCGAGAGAGATCGAGAGAGATCGAGAGAGAGAGAGAGAGAGAGAGAGAGAGAGAGAAAACGCAAGAGAGAGCACAAGCACATGCAGTGGAAAGCCAGTGAGAGAATGCAAGCAAGCAAACTATTGTCCCGAGAGTCAAAACAGAACTATGGCTTATCTTATGACACACAGATTCAAGAACTACTTATGAAGCAAGATCCATAAAAACCCAGATATATGTTACCTGTGAGGGAAAAAGGACATGGAAGAGGTCTTTATTACTTGTGTTTTCAAATTTTAGAATTATACCATTTTATTTCTTTTTCCTATTTCCCATTAAATCTTTCAGTGATGCTGGCTTTTTAAGGTTTTCTTTATAATTTTTCTAGTTATATTCCTGTTGAATACAAGAAATTATTATAATACTATATATGAATGAGTAAACATTTTCTATACTGTCTACACTATAACTTTGTATTCTAACATAGATGTAATTTCCAATATCCATAAATCTTCCATATCTACTATTTCTACTTCTTTGTAGTTTATTAATAATCACTATTGAACTATGCATTTATAGTTATCTTTAGAATACCCTATAAAATATTTTGCTGCTTGCAGTAATGTTTATTTGATTTTCTTAAATTTTTATGTATCGTCCCGACAAAAATTTTGAAAAGCTTTATTTCATTATGCATATTCATAATATCCTCCTGAATGTTCTCCACTACTGAAAAAATATATTTAAATGTATCTTAAATATGAAACAAAGTTCCTATTTGATTGCTGTCATTCTAGTATTTATCACATAGTTTTTATTTCTGGCTACAATAATATATGGGCATTATCATATATTTTGACAAATTATATTTGTTGCCCAAATTCATAGAGGAATTTGTATTTGCATTTTAAGGTAAAGTTGTTACATGTTTCTTCTTCTAGAATTCTGTTTTGTGTTTAACTGAGTAAATATTATCATTAATAACTTTTTATCTTCACTGTCACATTATATCCAGATGTTTTCTGCTTGTCTAACACTCATCTTGTGATCAGTCTGTGCTATTTACTCCAGCCTGTTATTTTTTTAAACAAATATTTTAGTTTTGTTAAGGTATTTCTTTTAATTTGTAGCATATTTATGCTCATATTTGTCACTCTAAAGAATTAGTAAACTATCATTAAAGAATAAAAGATAACTGATGAAGTATGGACCCTGATGAGACAAAGATGATGTAAAATAAAGGTGAAGAGATAAATAGTTACATGATGTATTTTAAACATTTTGATTTTCTTATCCACTCCTCCCTCTGTTCCCCACTTGTCTATAAAACAAACATAAAATTGTACTCTTTCCTCATACTAGAGAAACTAATGAAATTATCAAAGCTAATAAGCTTCTCTTTCCTTCCTTTATATCTTTTTTGCCCTATTTTTTAGTTGATAATTTTTTTAAAGTTCCACTATTTTAAATGTCAACCTAAGTATGCTGCAAAGACAAAAAACTTACCATTAAGTCTGTATAATGCAGATCTTTTGGTTTTGTAAAGCCTGTACACCCTCCTTTGGCTGTGAACATCATTTTAGTTGAGGGCCATGTCTGAGACTGCACTCCTACTTGTTCACATTTTTATTCACCTGCTTTTAAATTCTGGAAACCATGCTTTAAAAAAATTGATATGAGTGTTTCAAGATCTAGAAACATTATGACTCGTCTAAATCATAGAAGCAAATAACTAAAAAGAGGTTTTCTGGATTATATTTTTGAAACCTTGACTTATTTAGGAGTATCCTTGTTTAAATCAGTCTTCTTAGGCTTCATGTTAGCCTTTCCAATAATAATTCTATCTCTATTCAATTAAGAGAATTGGTGAATTTGATTAAGGGAATAGCTCTGGTTATTTTTTAAATTATTTTTCCATTCTTTCTTCTTTCTCCTTGCATTATTATAAATAGGGGAGTAATTGTTGTAATAACTGAGTTTCGTCATCACCCAATTTAAGAACCTCATTCCTTCTTCACTGTCACATTGTATCCAGATGTTTTCTGCTTCTTCCATTCGCCTGGTCACAGACTGCAATTTACCATTCATTCTTTCTAATGTTTTTCTAATTTCACTCTCCTTCTGTAAAATTTGAGCTTTTGATTGTTCAAAACTTCTTACCAGAAACAAGTCTGACTTTTCCATGTCTCCTGTGTTTCTAAACTTGGTTAACAGATATTTGAGGCCTCTCTGACTGAACTACCTGCCGGACTCTATTTCCTTCCTGCCTGCCATAGCAATTATTAATAATGGTCTTTGCAGATGTCCTTTCATTCTCTCTCTCTCTCTCTCTCTCTCTCTCTCTCTCTCTCTCTCTCTTTCTCTCTCTCTCTCTCTCTCCCACCCCCATCCCCTCTTTTTTGGGGGGATAGTGTCTGGATATTTTCTATTTCTTAAATCTTCACCTGGTGATGATCTGTTTGTCTAACTATTTAGAGAGCTCTTATCATACCGTACTACTGGATTCTCCTTCATAACTTTCTTCTGACCCAAAATGCTATTTTCTGATACCTTGAATAACACTGTCTCTAAAAATCAAATATAATTTCGAAGGACAATGACTTGCCACCACTGGAGATACTCCAAACCATATGCAATGTATTCTAGAAGCCAACAAGAAGCTCTAAAAATGGAAGGTTTTTAGTTCCCTAAGAGAATATTCTGAAGGGAAAAACACATAAGTGGATGTATAATTCTGCAACATTTTTAAAAAAGAAAAATAGTTACTTTATGACTCAAATCTAAAACTAGAGACATTGATAATAACATCACCGGATGCTATCTGGAAGGCTGTGTGGAGAAAAGTAGAATTTTGACAGACATTTAAAAAGGGGTAGACTTAAATAGTAAAAAAGGGAAGGAAAGGCATACCAAAAAAAGGGGAACTAGTATGAGGATATGTGTGAATATGGACGCGGAAAGGAAATGCTCAGGAAACAATGTCCAACTAAAACCATGTGGTTAGTGCAATGAGATAGAAAGTTGGATAGTTAGGAAGCCAAGCTGCCTGAGTACTCAAATACTATATGAGCAAGTAAGAGGAAGGACATGAAGGGAAAGACAGGAAGGGAAGCAGGCAAGAGGCAATTACAGTCATATAGGTGAAAGGCAGACTGGGCAAGAAACTGGTAAATTTGGTTTTATACTGGTTTTGTTATAGCTAACAGTGGAAGGTTCCAGTTGAAAAGTCTACTAGGAAATTAGATATGTAAATTAGTACTAGGAAGAGAACTGACTGAAGTTCTAAAGTTGGTAGTCATTTGGATTGAAGTAACAACTAGAGAGTGATGACAACAGAGAACTAGAAGCAATCTTAGGGAATACCCAAATTTAGAGAAAGAAAGAAGTAAAAGATAGCAAAGAAGACCAAAGAGGATCACAGTGTTATTTGTTGAGATAAATTTCTCTGTTAAAAGTATTCAGATTTATTTTGGATAAAGTTTTATCCCTTATCTCTACTTCCTGACACCCAGCTCAATAGCAGATCCTCATAGCAACACTTGTCACTCATGACCACTTCAATGTTGTGAAGAAGACACTGCAGTTTATTTTTAAATTAAAAATTTCTCCAATAGAATAAAAGTCAAAAGTTATAATTACCTTCCAAACAAAGTTGTATAAAATTTCGGCAAGCTTTAGGAGCTTCTTTTGACCACAACTCTATGTCAATATCTCCAGCTGTAGTCTTCAGTAAAACCTGTAGAAAGTATATACATTTTATTTAATTATCATTTTGCTTAATAATCAGTTGAGTAACTACTTGATTTGTAGCAATCATTAGTGAGTTTTTAATTTTAAAAGAAATATTAAAAATTGTGTTTGGCTTTTGCTGATATACTCAACAAAATGTCAAATATTCACTACAACTTATTGTACATTTAAATCTTTCAAAATACCATTTCAGAAAAAGTTTAGGATTTAAGAAAAATAGCATATATCTTTTTTAATCACAGAAAAAAACTTCATTCATTTAAAAAAGACTAATACTGAAAGTGGGAAATTTACTTGAGCCTATGAGTTCAAGAACAGCTTGGGCAACACAGAGACTCTGTCTCTAAAAAAATTTTTCTAGTTAGCCAGGCATGGTGTTGTTCCATGCTATTTGGGAGGCTGAAGTGAGAGGATCTTGAGCCAAGGAATTTGAAGTAATAGTGAGCGATGATCATGCCACTATATTCAGGCCTGGATGGCAGAGCAAGTTCCTGTCTCAAAATAAAACAAAGCAAAATAAGACAAAAACCCCAATAATAAAAATTTGTTATAATTGAGTTTCCCATTGCATCAGTTCCAATAAAACTGTGTAGCAAGTTAAGAAAGTAAACAACAATGAACCCATTAAGTTGTGACATTATAAGACAATTTTGTAATTACCCTTTTTAATTATCCTTTTATTCTCTCTGCTCATTTAACATCATGCTATTACTAATTTACAAAGGAACAGTCTTAATCTAATTCTAGGTTTGTGATTTACAAGAATATGATATCTTAAAATCACCATCTTTAGTAAACAGAATCCTTCTAACAGCAGATACTCCTTGGTGGAACCAGAAACTGCAACAACTAGAACCCCTCCCTGCTGGGCCCACAGGCAACAGTTTATAACTGTCTTATTTATAACCCACAAGTAACCAAAAAGAATGTTAGGCTCTAAATTTGAACATTACGGCATAGCTGGAAAACAATTTCTCCAGTATTACTTTTTCTTTCTTCTCCTGTACTATACCAAAGTAGATCAATGTCAATAATTTGTGACTATCAACAATCTTTTAGAATGCTCTTGCAACTAAAGAGTATGCAATGCAACTGTTCAAAAACATGAGACTGGTTCTCATGGGAAGTCAGTATCATAGATATTAAGTCACATTTTATTTTCCAAAACTCTTACCTAATTTACACAAATATACTTTTGTTTTGCAACTGGAGGAAGCTTTAAAATCATTCAATCTGCCTTTTACAGATGCCCCAAAGAAACTGTGAATTACTTGAATTAGAAAGCAAATAAAGTTAAATTGCTTATTAATAGCAAAGCAAGAAATAGCATTTCAATCTCTTCAGTACAAGTCCAGTGCATTTGTGCTACAACTGCCTTTTCACTTCTGTTTCAGAAGCCAAGATAATGCTGCCATACATTTATATAATATGTAACATTGATAAATCCATTGTTTCTTTGGGGGCTTTTACAGGCTACATAGTTTTCCTACAACTACTCTTCAGTGACTGAGGGTAAGGCAGGTGAAAATACGTACATTGTGGTATATGTTTAAATGGTTCTCTTAACCATTAAAGAAATACAAAAGACTTGGAAATGCATAGTTAGAATCAGTTCATGGTTTTCTCAATCCATTTCACTCTTTCTACAAATAAAACGGAATATTTGTTGAATGCCTTCCATGTGTCAGTTTTTGTGCCAGACACTTTACAGATCTTAACCCATTTAATCTTCACCTACAAGATAGCTATTATTACTCCCACCTTTCTTATGAAGAAACAGAGACTCAGATAAAGTAATTTTATCCAAGGTCCACAGTGAAAAACTTGAGCCAAAGACTGGCTACAAAGCCAGTGCTTTTTCTTTATCATCAGAATACCTTCACAAAGTTCTCCATATATTCCATACTATACTGAAAACATAGTTCAGCAAGTTCTAGGGCCCTGTCATAGGTCTCAAAATACATCCCCAAGTTGCCCCAGTCACAACTGATTTGAACAGAGAACAATGTCTAAGTCAAAAGTAGTCATATATTAGCTGAACATAAACAAGGCCTTCCAACTTGCCTTGGCATGAAACTGCCCAAAAGAAATACTCCATACCGGATGGTGACAAAGCAACTCAACTTGATTCTCACTCTCCTGGGAAGTATACATTTGGGATACACACTGAGAGAATGGATAACTGTCTCCTTCTACCCCAGAATGTATCTGGAATACCATTATGCAGTTCTGATTTTCCATGAGGCTTGATGTGATGCACATCCCAATCTTAAAAGTATAGCATACCTGAAAAAACAATGTCCTGTCCTGTTCTACCTCATTATTCCCTTGTATACTTGAAATAAAGCACTGTTGTTAAAAGGAATCTAGACTTGTCTTCTCTTAATTGCAACCTCAAAGCAATGATCTCCAAACTCAAACTTTTTGTAAATGAAAACAAAAGCAAAGGGCGGGTGGGGTGGAGAAGGAATGGATCACACATCCACAAATATATTTATTTAAATACTTGTAATAGGATATTGCTCTAGTATTATAAAAGAGTCACAAAACATAAAAATTTTAAATTACATTAAAATCATATTTTAAAATAATTCTTATTTTAATTTCATTAATGGTACAATGAACCTTTTTTATAATAGCTTCATTGAGACATAATCCACATACCAAACAGTTCACCCTTTTAAGTTGTATAATTCAGTAGTTTTTGGTATATTCACCACATTGTAGAGCTACTACCACTATCTAATTCCAAAACATTTCACCATCCCAAAAAGAAACCCTCTACCCATTAGCAGTCGCTCCCCATTTACCCCTACTCCTACTCTCTGGCAACCACAAATCTACTTTCTGTCTGTATAGATTTGCCTATTAAACATTTCATATAAAGTGAATCATACAATACGTGGACTTTTGTGTCTGGCGTCTTTTACTTAGCACAATGTTGCTTTCAAATTACATAGGAGTCTTTCAGTTCTACACACCTACTTTTTAAATGTCTTGAAAATCACAATGGCTTTATACTCTTACTGGTAAATATTTCAAGACACAATATATATTTAAGATAAAGTTCACCATTAAAAATAATAAGCAGAAATCCGTATTTCCAATGGTTGTCATAATAATTTGTTTTTTGACAGACTTCCCATGTTGAGGTATCAGCTCTATCATGTTTTTATGGTTTGCTTGTTTATATTATTATCTTCAATAAGCAATTTGTGAGGGCTGGTTTAGTTAATCTAAATACTATGGTCTATAAGTCTATTTAGCTAGTCATTATGAAAAATTATATCACTTAGCCAAGAAAGTGACTGAACAAGTGAACTTACATCATTTTTTTTATTTTTATTTTTTGAGATGTTGTCTTGCTCTGTCACCTAGTCTGGAGTGCAATGGCACGATCTCAGCTCACTGCAACCCCTACCTCCCGGGTTCAAGCAATTCTCCTGCCTCAGCCTCCTGAGTAGCTGGGATTACAAGCATGCCACCATGTTTAGTAGAGATGGGGTTTCACCATGTTGGCCAGGCTGGTTTCAAACTCCTGACTTCGTGATCCACCCGCTTCAGCCTCCCAAAATGCTTGGATTACAGGCGTGGGACACCACGTCAAGCCATTTTATTTTTTTTGAGATGGAGTCTTGCTGTGTTGCCCAGGCTGGAGTGCAGTGGCACGATCTCGGCTCACTGCAATCTCCACCTCCCTGGTTCAAGCAATTCCCCTGCCTCAGCCTCGCAAGTAGCTGGGATTACAGGCGCATGCCAGCATGCCCAGCTAATTATTATTATTATTATTATTTTTAGTAGAGACAGGGTTTCACCATGTTGACCAGACTGTCTTCAACTCTTAACCTCAGGCAATCCTCCCACCTCAACCTCCTAAAGTGTTGGGATTACAGGCGTGAGTCACTATGCCTGGCTGTCATCTTTTTATATATATAAAACAATGCATTTAAACAAAGGAAAAAAAATACAAATATATATAGATTTTCTCTCCACAGCTCATGGATGGTTTTGCACATCACCTGAAGTATGCACTCACTGGTTTAGAAACTACCACTCTAAAGAACACATGAATTCACATCATTCCTCCCTCAACACGCTCTTGAATCAGGATGCCCAAATTCAATTACTGGCCCTTCCACTTACTATCTTGTTACCTTGTGCACACTATCTAACATCTGTCACTTAATTTCCTAATCTAAAAACAGGGATAATAGTATCTTTTAGGATTTCTGTGAGGACAAAATGAGCTATAATACATAAGACTGCTTAGAACAGTACATGACAAATAATAAGTGCTCAAAAAATAAGTCATTATTATTCTCATAAAAGAGGTTTTTTGGCCACAGGCAACTTACACCTAGTAAAAAGAATGCATATATAAATGAGCCACCTTGCTCACCAGGGTTTCTTAATCTTTTCATTAATAAGCTACGGAATTAATGAGGAAGGTATATGGCTCCTTCCTCCTCTGGCCATACATTCTCTTTGGCCATCACTACTTTGTCAGGCCTCGTTGGCTCTTTCTCTTAAAGTTCCCAATTAATACTTAGATAATATCATGTTTCTTATACATACATATATAAATACGCTTATAAAGCCATTTTGATTTTCAAGATATTTAAGAAATAAGTGCGTAGAACAGGAAGACAGACCCTTATAATTTGAAAGCAACATTATGCTAAGTGAAGAAGTCAGACACAATTTAGATTAAGTGATCATAATATGAAGAAATTTCCTCTTCAGGGAATTAGCTCTTATGCTTAAGAAAATTTTTATCAAGTACTACATTTCTTTGCCTCATCTTCAGGGGCTAGGGTTATGGCATAGCACAGCAAAACACAGCACATTTATGGATAACAACCAGGTGCCAAGCACTGGCATCATGTATCAGTTACTTCCCAAGTTGATACTAAGCTCTTTGAAAGGAAGAATTTTGTCCCATTTACTCTGAATGTCTCTGTACCCTTTCAGTACCTAATGCAAAAATAGTAAAGGCAATAAATATTCATTGAACAGACTTATTACATTTGCTTCAAATTTTTTGCAGACCAAATTTTTTTGTCACATCTCCACCTTATAGAACTTGGAAGTTTTAACATCTTGGAACAGTCTTATGCTAGAAAAAGTCCCAATTTGTTATTAGATGAAAACTTGGGCCCTTATGTTATCATTCAGCCCATTTCTGTTCAGAAGACAGTATTTATCACATTTTGTAACTAAACATTTATTTGCGTGATTATTCAGTCAATGTATATTTCACTCAACTAACTCATGACAACTGAGATAATGCTGCTTTTTTCTTTCCATTGTATCCCTAAAACCTAGCAGAGAGCCTGGCAATTGATGTGTTCAATCAATATTTGTTGAATGAATAATCTATTCAGGCATGTATCCTTGTTAAAGCTTTTCATCTATAGGACCATGTCAAATCTTCCTTTAGAATAAAAAAACTAAGTCTGTCCTTGACCAGCAGCAGTAAAAGTTCAAAGTCACTGATGCTTAATACCTCTCAAAAACTAAGAAAAACGTAGTATTAATTCATCTACCCATTCATTTATTCAATACATATCTGAACTCCTTATATCATGTGTCAAGTATTGTTCTAGATGCTTGTCTTGCCCTTACGTTGCTTGCATTCTATAGGGGTAAAGTAGGAGGAAGAATATGGTAATACTAAATAACTAATAAATACTACAAAAAAAAAAAAAAACTAAAAAGGTTAAGGGGGCCAGAGAATGCTGGGATGCAAGGCATTATTGAAGTTTGCTATTTCATAGAAAGTAGATAAGAAAGGGCTCTTTGCTAAGGTTGACACTTGATTAGACAGCGGAACAGCAAGTGTGAAGGCCCTGTCTGGTAGGATGGTAAATCTATTCAATCTCTATCAGTGTTTATTAACTGGGGGTGATATTGCCCTCAAGAAACATTTTGAAATAGGAGAGGTAGGTATTTTGGGTTACCACATTGATATTAAATAAGATATGTGAGGGGTAGGATGGACATACTAACCTACAATGCCCAGGAGAAGTTCAAAAGAAGAATTGAAAGAATTGATTTACCCAAAATACTTGCTGGGAAATTTTTGCTGGGAATTACAGCATTTTTGGTTTTGCTTTTAAATTGCCCTCATTACATTATCAAATATCAATGAATAAAAGACTGTATAAATGATTTGAGATGAATCACATAACAAACAGGATGGTATGTTGTGTAAATTTAGCTTATCTTAATTGAACTATATACTTTCAAGCTTGTCATTTTCTCCAATATGCTGATACATCAAATTTCACATGTGATTATAGGCTGGGTCTCAGTTTAAGAATTCAGGTGACACTTATTCTACAACTGACTCTTCTGCCTTGTACTGTATACAAACACCTTGGATGGGAATTGGCATACATTAGCCATTAAATCAATCAGAGAAACATTTTTCCATTCTAATGTGGTGATATTACCCATTTCCCACTTTCTCTGACTGACAGTCACCTCAGGTTTTAAAACCAGCTCAGAAGATAGCTTCTCCATGAGGCTTTTCCTAACTTTCCCAATTGTTCACTACTCAGTATTACCATAGTAACATGCTTTCCTCTGCAAGCACGCTTATCAGACATACAAGGCTTTTGTTTACCTGCCTGTCTCACAAATTAAACTATAAGCTCTTCCAGGAAAACTACCTTACCTATGCATCTTTGTATCTCCGGCGTCTAATACAGTGCCCAGTGCCTAGCAGGCCTTCAATTAATGATTCTAGAAGAACTGGAGAATTAATGATCTCCAAGTTAAGCAAAGAATATATCAAACTCAAAAATGTACTTTTAAAAACCTAAGGCCCTAGATATCGGCTGCGTGAGTTGGGTTAAGGCAGAAAATAGAACCGGAACGCTGCTGGATAGGGAAATCTCCACTTGACTTTTTCAAGCATATGCTGAGAAGTACCGGCTTCAGTGTTTCGATGCAACATTGTCCACAGGAAGAAGTAAAGACAACACTTTTCGTGGTCTTTTCCTACCACAAGATCCCTGAACCCATCCCCCACCCCAAATCCGGGAAATCTCACTTTGGGGATCCCAGGGCCCCAGGTTCCCTAGATGAAGCTCTCACCTTCCCATTCGTGGGAGGCTCCTGGATGTAGATGTTGCTCATCCTGATCAGTACTCAGGACTCGGCTCCTTATAGGGGATGAGACTGGACGGCCGGTCACGAAAGCTGTCCACCTATGAGCACACTCTTCCTTAAGTCGAGTGGCCCAGGAAAGCTTCAGTTTTTCAATATCACGCAAGACAGGGACACCAAACACTACCTCTGCCCAAAACAGTCCCTCTCGGACGCCGCCATGTTGTTACCGGACCCAAGCACCGCTAACCCTAAGAAGGGTGACTCCAATGTAATCCTGGGTACAAAAAAAGTCTGTAAAGCTACTATAGCTTAATGTAATTTGTATTACAATATTAGAAGGGGCACTTCGTAAGTCTTGGCGATGTTTACTTCATTACTCGCGTGTGCGGATCACACTCACCACCCCCCAAAACTAGCAGTAATGGTCCGGACCGTGTGTCTTCTGCAATGTGACTCGTCCGGAAACCGCATCTGCGTCTACTGGTTCTGTTGTCGCTGGAGGATTACAGGGCCTTCCGACAGCAGCGACGGCGCTGCCGCCCTGGGGAAGGCAAACGCCGCTTTGGCTGTGCCTTGTCCTGGAAGCTGGCGGGAAGCAAGCGCCTTTTCCAAAGCAGTGACCCCTGTCGCCACCGTCATGGCGGTCCCAGGTAAGGAGCAATTACAGGGCCTCTGCGTCCGAGTTCGGAAGGGAGCGCAAGGGAGGATAGGATAGGGTGCGGGATGTGGAGAGCAGCGCCCGTGGGGATTTAGGTGGAGGCCTTAAAATTCACAGGTCTGTTTTGTTTACATGAAAAAGTTTACAGTCCAAAGAAAAACTCTGAAGGAAAGAAAGTAACTATCTCCCTCCCCCCGCAACTGCGTGGGATTACAGGGAAAGTGTATCGTGGAAGGAAGGGAGAAGGGAGAGACTGTAATTGTAGGCCGAAGGGGGCAGGCGGCCAAGAAAAACTGCCTTAATTGTGGTATGGCTTTAAAATAAAATTTGAAGTGGAAACACTTGGCCGACCCAGGTAACCGGAGGCGTGGTTCGTTTGTCTTAGAAGTCGCTAGGACCAGCCGGGCGTCCGGGTTATACTCCTAGCCCTTCCTGTTGTAGGTAGCTGCTCTGTGGCCACGGATTGGTCTCTTTGTGCTTCTGGGCCTCAGTTTCCTTATAAAAACAAGGAGCTTTGTTGAATTATGTATAAGATTTCTTCTGAGTCTCAAATTCTGTGTCCAGAAGTTACTGCCCTAAAAATGGTGAACTCGCAGAATAATTAAAAGATTTTCTCGTCCTTAACTACCAGCTTACTTGGAAGTTCTAGTAGAGGAGAGCATCTCCTTAAACCGGCTTTGCGATCACAGGTTGCAGGAGATGTGTTCAGAAATATACACTCCTCCACCCTATCCCCCCTAACTTGGAAATTCACAGTGCACTTTAGTAATAGAAAAGATTCTGAGAATTACCGTGGTTCAGAGCCCTAACTGTTTAAACCTACCCTTCCCAGTATTATTTGACCAGATTCTTTGTTCTGTGGCAGCCTTTTTGAACCTCATTCTACAGATACCTGTTATGGGAACACTGTGCTTTTGCACCAGCTACAGTTTGGGGAGGAGTACATCTGGAGCTGTGAGAGAGGAAGTGTAAACTCTTTATTAAGTGCCTGTTGTGTGCCAGGCACTGGTACTAGGCATTGAAAATACAATGGTGAGCAAGGTAGACATGGTTACAGTTCACACAGAACTTAGAATTTAGCAGTGAAGAGAGAGAAATTTACAGAAAATAGAACAAGTGCCATGGCAAGGAAAATACAAGAACTTAGGAAGCACTTAGTAAGGGCACCAAACACACACAGGATGGGCAGGACTTTCCAGAGGATGTAGCCCTTTTTTTTTTGAGACGGAGTTTCGCTCTTGTTATCCAGGCTGGAGTGCAATGGCGCGATCTCGGCTCACCGCAACCTCCGCTTCGTGGGCTCAGGCAATTCTCCTGCCTCAGCCTCCTAAATAGCTGGGATTACAGGCACGCGCCACCATGCCCAGCTAGTTTTTTTTGTTTTTTTTTTTTTTTTTTTTTTTTTTTTTTTTGTATTTTTTAGTAGAGACGGGGTTTCACCATGTTGACCAGGATGGTCTCGATCTCTCGACCTCGTGATCCACCCGCCTCGGGCGCCTCGGCCTCCCAGAGTGCTGGGATTACAGGTTTGAGTCACCGTGCCCGGCGGATGTAGCTCTTAGGAGGAGATCTAAATTGTAGGAGGGGTGGTTTGGAGGGAGAGGAGACTGCAGTTGAAGGAACTGGATACTTAAAGGAAGAGGAAATATGTGAGAAGAGGAAACGAAAGATGCTTTCTTGAGATGAAACACAAATACAAATGAGAGATAAGTGAGAAATTAAGTAGATAGTAACTGTAGCTAATATTTACTAATATTTATGTGTCAAATATGTCAGAATGAAAGATGTTTTCCGTGGATGAAAGTGAAATACAAGTGGGAGATAAGTGAGAAATTAAGTACAGAGATAGTAACTGTAGCTAATAATTACTAATATGTGTCAAATGTGTCAGATACTGTATCAAACATTGTATTCTATCTCATTTAACTTTCACAACTGTGCTGTGAAATGAGTATTAATATTCTCATTTTACAGATAAGGATACTGAGGGACAAAGAAATCAAGTAATTTGCCTATTATGAGACAGCTGGTAAGCAAGAGGTCAGTCTGGCTCCTCTAGACTGTGCGCTTCATTCATTTTGCCATAATATAGAATAACTTACAAGGTAGTTTCCAGCTCTTGAAGGACCTTGTAGGCCATGACAAGAAGTTTGGCATTGTCCTAAGAATGGTAGGAAGCCATCTAAGGGTTTTTAAGCAGATTTACATTTCGGAAAGATAATTCTGGCTATACGGTAGATTGGAGGCAAAGTTTACCAATTAGGAGTAATTCTCGTGAGTTATGATGATAACTAAATAGGTAAGAAGAGAAGTAGGCAAATTGAAGATACATTTTTGGTGGTAGAATCGCTAGGTATTGGTGATTGATTCAATGTGAGTAGGTAAAAGAGGAAATGAGATTTACCTGGGTTTCACTGTGAAGCAATGGGGTGGAGCTATTTACTGATATAGCAACACCTCACAAGGATTAGGGGTTCAAGGGATGATGATGACATCCAATTTGGGGCTTGTTGTGTTGAGGTTAATCAGACATAGGAATGGAAATAGTAGTAAAATATATAATTTATAGCTTAGGAATGAAGTCAAAGACAATGATTTGGGTGTTATCCACACACATAATAGGAGGTAAGGCTATGGGAGTGGAGCAGTCTGCTTAGGTGGTGTGTAGAATGTGAAGGGAAAGTCTGTGGCTGAAGCCCAGTGAGTATCAACATCTAAGAGGCCAGCAGAGAAAGATAAACCTACACGGTAGATTGCCTAAGCATCCTAATAGGCCAAATCAGCTCTGGTGGTCTTTGTACCACACAGCTGCACCCAAAGTTGACCTGTTATCACTGCTCATTTCATGACTTGAGCAAGCCTTATGGGCACTCTGGAGGACACAATGTTGTGGTCTGTACCTTCATCAAACTTTAAACAGTACATGAAAATGTGCTATGTAAGAAAGGGGACAAAAGTATTTTTTAAAGCACTTATTAAAATATCTTAAACTTAGACCAGTGTTATAGATAGGTTAACCTTCTTTCAATTCAAAATAATGCTTCAAAGTATAATAATGTTAAATTGAGCCATTAAGTTGGATGGCAAGATATAGATAAACTGTTTAAACGCAGCAAAAATTGAGATAATAGGTGTGATAGCGCTGTAAAAGTACAATGCAAGTGTCATTAGAAAATACAGATACAGAAGATCTTAAGATAATTTCTTGGATGATCAATCCAGGCAGAGTATTAAATAGGGCGAATCTAAACGTTTCAAGGTGATTATCAAGGAGGACAAGTATTATGTTGCACTCTTTTATTTTAGGTTTCATAGATTCAGTTTGGCATTTCTTGGGGTGGTCCTGCTAGTGATTATGACAAGGTATTATTATAAAGTAACAAGGCTGCTTTCCACAAACCACACATAAAAATCAGCCTTGTCTGTTTTCTGGTCATGTGCTTCACCTGTGTTTCCATAGCATTGTGTGTTAGTTTATTCCATTATGTAGGTAATACAATGAAATGTAGGCATTTAGGAAAATCTTACTCTTAGTTATTATAGAAATACCATTTGATCACAGGTTTCAGTGAAATCTACTTTCTTTGAAAAACTGCTTTTCCCATTCGTAGTTGTTGAAATTACCTCCAACATTCGTGTCAGTAATTCACCACTCTCCATGAAGAGTTGAACTGGCACAAGTGGCAATGTATATTACTGATGTAGCTGGCACAAAACTTTCTTGTTATCTCCTCCACCGAAGCCCTGTAGCTAAGGTAGGGGATTTTTCTAAGGCCAAGTTAACATTTCAGTCTGGCACATCACAGTGAAGAAGATTTTTTTAAAAATTTCTCTTTTCTTTTTTTTCCCCAAGTCAGTGTACAAAAGACTAATTTGATGAATAAGATTTTTAAAACACATTATGATTTTATCTTAGTAATAGAAGAATTCTAATTTACATCCAGTTTCTCTTTATTCCTAAACTAGACTATAGGTAACTTCTTTTCTCTGTAGTCTATATTGCACATTGCTGCTAAAATAATTTTTCTAAATCATATATCTGATCCTGTTATTGCTGGGACAGAGGAACTTAGTTCTTGACCCCTGTTTGTGAATTTTGTAATTCTTTTCAAGCCACTTAACCTTTCTGAGGTTCAAACCTGTCCTCCATAATAGAGTTGAAGGCTAAGGTTTCTTAAGCTTCTAAAGTGTTAAAATGCCAAAGCTCCCCATCTCTCTCTGCAAGAATGAAGTGCACACTCCCAAACATGACCAAATCACTCTTTCTACTCTTTCCTTCCACCACTCCCCTCATACATTCTACAATTCTGCAAAAATCTGACTTGTCCAATTATTCTGTGAACTTCTCAAGTGCTTTCCTATCTATGAGTCTTTGTTATTACCTCCTATATTGCCCGTATCTGCTAATGGGGAGCTTTTCTGATCTCTTGGCTGAAACTCTTGCCTGCCACTTCTTCATGCTTATTAAATACAGCTCTGTGTCTTCTATGAAACCTGGCCCGTTCTATCATGGATTACAGCTGTGGGTGCACTAGTACAGTGTCACTTTCCATCGGCTGCATGTGGCCCAGGACGACTGTGAATTCAGCCCAACACAAATTCGTAACATTAAGAGATTTATTTTGTGTGATTTTTTTTTTTAAAGCTCATCAGCTATTGTTAACGCATTCCAGTGTATTTTATAGTTTATACCCTCATAAAACTTTAAGCAATACATAAAAATACTACTTAAGAAGGAGTGATTAAAAAGTGATTTTTAATCCCTTATTAAAATTCTCTTAAACTTACACCAATGTTATAGATATGTGGACCTTCTTTCAATTCAAAATAATACTTCAAAGTATAATAATGTTAAATTGAGCTATTAAGTTGGATGGCAAGATATAGATAAACTTTAAATGCAGCAAAAAATTGAGATAATAGGTGTGATAGTGCTGTAAAAGCACAATGCAAGTGTGGTCCAAAACAATCTTCTTCCAGTGTGGCCCAGGG